CTTTTGAATCTTTTGAGAAGATCATCGCTTAAAACAAAGAGATACATAAAAGTGCGAGGTATTACACATGTTGTATTTGACAATGCTAAAGAAACAATATGGAAGTGAAGAGAAGAATTTACCTTCTGCAGAGTCCGTTGGTTCACGCATCGGGAGGGGAAATAGGAAGAAGAAAAAGGTCATAAGTCCATGCGATATCATGCAGCCAAAATGCAAACCGTTTCATTCACAAAAGATAAATGTAGAAGTAAACAAGACAGATCTTGTGAGGAACAGAGTCATTAAAAAAAATAGAGGAGTAGGCATGGGGGTAAAGAGAGAGAGAAGGGGGGCGGGAGAGCATTTTATAAGGGACAGCCAAACTTTATCAAGTGCTGAACTTTCCAATCAATAAATTACAACATTACATTTTTAAGAATAAGAAAAATTTAAAGAAAAAGTGATCATCAGCGCTGTAACAAACTTGGACAGTTGGACAGATCACTCAGGAAAAACCTATGAGAAAAGTCCCCCCCCCCCCCCCCAATTAGCCACACACACACATACTTCTCGCAGACATTGGGTACATTTCTGATTCTGACATTGGCTCAGAAACAGACAAAGTCCATGCAGAGTCTACTCAGTGCCAACAACAGAGCACGTGGCCTGGTGAACTACGTGGCCCACGAGGCAGTGCTGTGTGCTCTCAGTGCCATCAACAACAGAGCACGTGGTCTGGTGAACTACGTGGCCCACTGTGTTCTCAGTGCCATCAACAACAGAGCACGTGGTCTGGTGAACGACGTGGCCCACGAGGCAGTGCTGTGTGCTCTCATGCTGCTTCTTCACAGTTGTGCAAGTTGAGGACACTTCCTACACAGGGTGACGGCCCCAAGACTAAGGTATTTGGTAAAAAACCTAAAAAGTTTAAGGACACCCCCCCCCCCCACCTCACACAGGTAAACAACTGCAAAGATATTTTCACCATTTGTACAGAAGTGGATGGTATTCTCACAGCCTATGTGACAAAGTGATGATGTTATATATTCTGACTATCTGGAAGAAAAAGTCATCTTATACATTCTGTCGACTTTGTTCAACCATTGTTACGACTGAAACGCTGAATGTTACTGAACAAAATGCCATAACAATTCAAACAGTTGGGGATGGGGAAGAGATGCGTGTGTCACACACACGTCTACCAAGGTTTCCTGCTCAGTTGGCAGGACAGTATTCTTAGGGCCCCCCTCAACACAGCACCCACAAGTGGAGAATGTTAACTATATGTGGTCGCTTTTAAGCACAAGGGAAGCATCCCGAAAAATGCTGTTTTGAGAAATCGGAAGGCTAAGTTTTTGCCCCTTGTTCAGTTTCTTTAAAAGACAAGGAGAGTTTTCTCTATAACCAAACAAATATACACACCAAAGAAACAAAACTTCTCCTATAGGTAGGGCAATGCCCACTTTTGGAGTAGGTCAAGATTTCTGGAAAACCCCGAATCTGGGTTAGCCCGTTTGTCCTTAAAAGCGGCCACATGTAAAGGTGGGGCCCACCCTGTGACAGTGGAGGTCGCGTGGGGCAAGACTTACGTTCATCGGCACTGACGTCTTCGCTCCCACTCTGGTCTTTGCTCTTCATGAACGGGAATCTTCTCGAGAAGGAGAAATTTTTCTTTTTCCTGTCATTGGCTGCAGCAGACGAGGCAGGGGTCTGCGGGATAGACAGAACGACACACTTTCCACATCCGCTTTGGAATGGGTACAATGATAAAATTCCCCTTTAACACTTAACTCTTTAAACCCCACCAGACGCTCCTTCCAACTAGTGACAACTGTCTTGTTTTATTTGGAGCTAGTTTTTGCTTGTTTTTCTAAACTACTCCTGAACCACCAAGTTTTTTTTAGTAATGACTAAGTCTTTGTTTCCGCCATTTTGAAGTTGGGAGGCAAGCTTTTGGGGTTACAATGTGACATAGTGCACCAGGTTTATGTGACTGTAGAAAAAACTCTGGGAAACGGTGGAAAAAACTCAGGGTTTAAAGAATTAAGTCTCAATACATCTATTCTTAAAAACTTCCATGGCTAAGGTAACTGCCCCCCCCCCCTCCGGGCAGTGTCACTGACTGAAGTGTCTTTAGGCCATTCCCAAAGGGGGCATAGTAACATGTTCTTATGCACAGAAGAATTGTAAATGGGTTGATTTATCAATGTCATGCTCATACTGTGCTGGATCAACATAGGGGGAACTGCTGCTTTATCCCCCCCTCATTCCTCATCCTATCGCCATTTTCCTCTACTTCCTTTGTAAGTTGTCACACTCTTGTGAACATTCCACGGCTCTAGTACGGTTAGTGAGAACCCAACATTTTAATGTCAATTGTATAAACTGACATCTCAGGTTACGTGGAAGAGAAGGCTTCAGAGCCACATCTTTCATTTCTAGTCCAAGAGTGAAGACAAAAAGTCCAGTCAAAATGTCCACAAAGACACAGACACCAGGTGTTTCACTACTCACCTTCTCTGTGTTTGCACTGTTCTTGCCTGTAAATTTGACATTTTTCAATCTCGCTCTTTCTTTTCTTTCAACTCTGGAACAAAGGAGGCAAACAAAACAGTTGGAACACAATACATAAGACCTTCTTGCCTACAAGTAATGATTATAATATTAATAATTGCATTTACATAGCGGCATATCAACACTCTACAGCATGCTCTATGCGCTTCACAATCACAACTCGAAATTGTCCTAAGACGACTACCCGTTCTCGCGGAAAAAAAGTGGTCTTCTTAGACATGTGGATGTCTTGCAGTGTCACTGTTATCTTTTTTAACCCTATCCGTACACCCTGGAGTCATATTGTACCCCCGGGGTTGTATTCTTCACATTTTAGAATACTTCTAGTACGAAGATCTCTTTAAAACTTTCAGTATTTCGTAAAAAATCATTTTGACAGACTGCTATGCAAAGCGTACGGATCGGATTAACGAGTAAATTTCCTCTTTGGAAAGTGGTGGCACAGAGTTCCCCACGTCGCATGGATACGATAGTAAAACAGGACGTACATATAGGGTTAAATAAGGCAAAATGGAGAACTGGGAAGCGCCCGTTTGTACAGGTGACATCTTCTTATACAGGTGGCTGGGTATGATGTGTAACTATGACTGATAATGTACCTGTTTGCTGGGTATGATGTGTGACTATGACTGATAATGTACCTCTGTTTGCTGGGTATGATGTGTGACTATGACTGATGATGTACCTCTGTTTGCTAGGTATGATGTGTGACTATGACTGTCCCTCTGTTTGCTGGGTATGATGTGTGACTATGACTGATAATGTACCTCTGTTTGCTGGGTATGATGTGTGACTATGACTGATGATGTACCTCTGTTTGCTAGGTATGATGTGTGACTATGACTGTCCCTCTGTTTGCTGGGTATGATGTGTGACTATGACTGATAATGTACCTCTGTTTGCTGGGTATGATGTGTGACTATGACTGATGATGTACCTCTGTTTGCTAGGTATGATGTGTGACTATGACTGTCCCTCTATTTGCTGGGAATGATGAGTGACTATGACTGATAATGTACCTCTGTTTGCTGGGTATGATGTGTGACTATGACTGATGATGTACCTCTGTTTGCTAGGTATGATGTGTGACTATGACTGTCCCTCTGTTTGCTGGGTATGATGTGTGACTATGACTGATAATGTACATCTGTTTGCTGGGTATGATGTGTAACTATGACTGATGATGTACCTCTGTTTGCTAGGTATGATGTGTGACTATAACAGTACCTCTGTGCTGGGTATGATGTGTGACTATGACTGATAATGTACCTCTGTTTGCTGGGTATGATGTGTGACTATAACAGTACCTCTGTTTGCTGGGTATGATGTGTGACTATGACTGTCCCTCTGTTTGCTGGGTATGATGTGTAACTATGACTGATAATGTACCTCTGTTTGCTGGGTATGATGTGTGACTATAACAGTACCTCTGTTTGCTGGGTATGATGCCCATGCCCTCCTCCTCGCCCTCCGCCGTGATCCGCTTGGCCTGCCACCACTCGTCGTCGCTGGCGTTGGTCACATGCAGGATGTCACCGTAGTGGAACTGGAGGCCTTTGCTGGGCAGGCCAGAGTCTTTGCTCGGGTCGTAGTCAAACAGAGCTCTGTGAGGGAGAGAGGGGATAGACTATACATTACATAGACTGCACAGACTAGACCCTTGCTGGGGCTGGGCAGACCTGTCTTTGGTTGGGTCATAGTCAAATAGGGGGAGGGGGGTTAGACTATTGTCATAGACAAACAGGGCTATGAGGAAAGATTGAGAGGAGACAACAGATTATAATCATAGATAAACAAGACTCTGAGGCGATGGTGAGGGGAGAGAGTATAGACTATAATCTCAAACTATTCAATTATTTGCGCGACTATTCTAGAAAAGAAAACACACACGTTGACACAACACACTAGAGTGTAATGACTCGATATACGACATAAAGAGAACACATTTTAAGATCTATAAGACAATCTAAACCACAGTGGGTCCAAAGACTTCCTTGAAGACTCCACGATCCACACTGAAGAACACTTGCCAAGGATTTGAATTTGAACCAGACTCATCCCCATGACACCCACTGAACTATAGGTAGGTCTAGTCCCCACTACCTGAGAGAGATCTTTTAGTTTTAGTAAGGTTTAACGGCGCTCGCAACTGCATAAGATCATTTGAGCGTCAAGAGGTGGATGTCAACAGAGAAGTCCTTACAAGGAATCATGCTTACTCTGCTCACCTCTCTAGCCTCAACAGCACAAAGTCTGCTTCCACTATCAAGGCACCCCGGAAATAGTGGGTCACAAGAGAGTGACAAACATACAAAAGAAATAGAGGATAAATGACGACAGTAAGGATTAGGAAAGAAAAAAGCAACAGTTCCCCCTATGTTGTACTGGCACAGTATGAGCATGACATTGATAAATCAGCCTATTTTTACAATTCTACTGTGCATAAGAACATGTTAATGTCCCCCCCTTTGGGAATGGATAAGTGAGAGAGCTCAATCCTCACCTGACATAGAGAGTTTTCTTCTGTGTTGTGCGTAGGCTGCCCGTGCTGGTGTTCATCATTTGCTCCCTCAAGTCCTGGATCTTGGCCTCGAAGCGGTTGTAGTCTGAAACAAGGAGCCACAGTACAGCGGTTACCTTTGGGAGACTCACAGCATTGGTTTGTCCGTTTCCCTACCCTTTGCTTTAACAAAACCTCTTTCAACATGGAACTGTATTTAAGAAAAAAAACGTATCCGGTCAGACGTCCATTTCCGACACGCTCCGGCAGTCAAGGGGTCAGAGAGTGGAAACTGTCATAAAGTCCTATAGCAGCCAAAGGCGGAATTAAATCAGGGTCGTCGACCGCCCCCACATACTACTCTCCCCCAAACACTACTCTCATCTCTGATCTCCCACTGCACTGAGCTTGCAACGTTCTCTGTCTCACACACAGGACTACGTGGCCAAAAGAAGGCACAAAGTCACCAGTCACAGTCAGAACCAAACAAGTACACACATCCTCTGCAGTTCTACTTCATTAAAACTACAAGAAACTTTTACTTTTTTGAGGTGCCCACCTGAGCTCCAAACCTGTGAGACTATGCGTGAACATATCAAGTTTAGTTTTAGGCCGGTTTTACGGCGCTCCCAACTGCATAAGGTCATATGAGCGCCAGAACATTTCAAGTTTGTAACCAGAGGAGTCACACACTAAAAAAGCCGCGTTCCAGGACGTCAGTATATAAATTACAAACTACGCTGCCCCAAACCGACAAAATGCCATTTTTTTTCATTCTGGCGCCAAAATCTTTTAGCTGCTACATCGAAAGTCTGACCAGTAACCTTACTCATGTGAAAAAATCTAAGTGAAAAACTTTGACTGGTTTTTGAATACATTCAAATTCAAATGTCGGAATCAGTATTTATTTTTCAATGGTTACGTCGACAAAAACAAAAAGGACCACCATCAGCACACCAACTGCAATGGTCGGGCAATTTTTGCCGCTTCAACCAGGCCTCCATTATGCATGCACACACACACACACATGTGTGGTGACGCCGGGCACGTGGTCTTTCGTGGTAGGGCCTAGGAATGACATCACATCACTACGTCTTGCCACAGACTTGAAACATTTACAAAAACACGACGCTCTGTTCTTCACTGTGTCTGGCAAACACCTAGCCACTGCTCATGACAGGGTTCCTGCCACCAACTCACCACCAAAGGAGGTTTCAAGAAGAAATTAAAAAAATTCAGGGAGATTTGGTCAAGAAATTCATGCCTCTTTTAATGGCGCGCCAAGAACAATAATACAGGAATGTAAGGCTGCTGTGGGAGCTCGCACCCCAAAAGCCTATTTCTGATAGGCCTACACTTGCTCAAAAAGAATCGTAGTTTCGATTTTCAGACAAACATTTTGTTGATGTCCGATCCTGCGAAATTCAAAGAGTACTCAAGGAGGTTCCTTACATTCAAGGAGTTTTCGAGGAGATTTTTCCTTGAATTCAAATTCAGGGAGTTTTCAAAGAGATATTTCCTGAATGCACATTCAAGGTGTTTTCAAGGACCCCTTGAATTCAAGGAGGCCGCGGGAATCCTGTCATGATCCTTGCGGTTGCTGTTGTCTACCAACTTACCACAGCACTAAGGATTCTGGCAAAGTGGGTATTGCCGGACCAAATCGGGTCATAATGTGCCAGAAAAGAGACAATGATATATGTTCACTTTCCCCAACCCTAACTATTATGAATTAAAATCAATATACATAATTTTTGGCCCCACTTCACACACATTGGGTGCTGTCAGTGCACAAACAGGTACAGACACGTGGAGAGAATACCGCCTGACGGTAATGTCACAGACCTTGTTATCGTCATTTTGCCGTGTGATATACATCACAGACATTGTTCCTAGCCTCACTTTGCGATGATGTGTGAGTCATGTGTGAGTCACACGCTAAGCTGGATGTCTCCACAGGAAACAAAAGCCATAAGTAAACAAATTGAGAGGGAACAAACTCCAAGCAAAAGAAAGAGAGAGAGAGAGAGAGAGAGAGAGAGAGAGAGAGAGAGAGAGAGAGAGAGAGAGAGAGAGAGAGAGAGACAGAGAGAGAAAGAAACAGGCTATTTGAATGAATAAATTTACAGGCATAGCAGAGGAGGAGGAAGCAAAGCCAAAGATTGATACATGTAAAGGCGAGGAACGACAGATGAACTGATCCTCAAAGTTGCATAACCGTGCATTTGCATTTGTTATTAAAATGCCGATACATAGTTTGAGAGATGTTACAACTGAAAAAGATCTAGAACAGAGCAGGCTTTAGGAGCAGGGAGGATTAGGAAGAAGTAGAAAAAGACTGAAGGAAAAGTCAATGGAATGTCAGAATTGGAAAGAAAGAGATGTGGGGGGAAGGAAGCCAAAAGCAAGATGAGGAAGGGGCGAGGGTTAAGTTGAGGAAAAAAACTCCCCAAAGAATGCAGTAACAATATAAGCCAAAAAAACAAAAACCAAAAAGAATCCCTAGGTACAAACTGACAAAAGGTCAAAGCAAAAGGATTCCAGCAATCTTCCCTTAAGACAGAAATGTTACCACACCACTCCCACCTCTAACCCGCCCTTCCAACACAACATCAACAATATCACTGGCACCACCACCAACAACATCACTGTTACCAACAACATCAACGAAATAGGAAGACAAAGATTGAACAAAGACTAAAGAGCAACACAAACATCTATCATGCTGAAACAGAACCCAGTGAGTCGTGTGCATGCCTTTTGTGCATTCCGCTAGTCAACAGACTCTTTCTTCTCGTACCAAGGGAACCCACGGTGACACGTTTAGTTTTAGTAAGAGTTTACGGCACTTGCAACACAATAAGGTCATATAAGTGCCGAAGATTAGAGGTGTTACAAGAGAGTAACAAACACAAAAAAGAAGGGGAGGTAAAGACGATAGATGTTTGATAGGAAAGAAGGAGCAAACCACATCATAGCACCCGCCAACCACCCATCACAAACTCTACCCCTACAGAAACAATTTCAATTTTGAAAAAAATAAAGAAAAGACCCAACCCCCCAAAAATGTAAAAAAATGAAGATTCCTTCCACCATAGAAGTATAACAAATATAACAAATGACACTAAAACTAAAACTTCCAATAAGAGAAAAAGAAGCAACATCAGTCTGATCTATGGAAGCAAAAAAAGGGACGAGTGGAAACAATTCTCGCTACAACTCCCAATACCTCAACACGCGAACCTCACACAACACCCCCACACAAGCAAACAAAATTGGATGGCCTTGAAAATAAATAAAAGAACAGCGACCCCCCCCCCCCAACACAAATGTATTTCACGTCATCATGGGCCCCGATAGATACAAATCAACCCCCCCCCCCCCCCCAACCAAGGGCAGGAGGTAGAGATGCAGAAACAGTGGAAGAATACAACTAATACAAACAACACAAAACTGTAATCAAAAGAGGGGAGGGGAAGAAAAAAAAAATCCACATGGATGATTTTGCTTCTGTTGAGAAATTCCATTGACAATGCCAATGCATTGAGCTGGCAAAGTTCTGTGAGCAAAAACGTGCAAGAAAGACGTAAAAGTGACCTTGACCTTTCTCTGTGGTTGTAACCAAGAAGTGAGAGAACGCTGTCCATCTGTCCACACTTAGCTACAACAAAACAAAACCATCCGTGTCAATTTTTACTCCCCCACCCCTCTCACTGAGCGACTTTTACATTGGGAGAAAGGGCAAGAAGAGTTCTGTCCCCACAAGCTTTAGTTTCCGTACGAGTTTTACGGCACTTGCAACACAATAAGGTCCCCACAAGCGGCCGAGAGGAGGCAGACAAGCAATAAATAGCAAGCGCGAGAACAAGCCAAGCTAGGCAAGAAACGACACGGGAAACCAGGCACCTTGGTTTGTGACACTTTATTGTTTCTCACTAGGCTGCTCCATGTTACCTCTTTATAGAAGGATAAAAATTGGGCTATGACAATTGACACATAAGGAAGAATATATTTGGATATGGTAAGGGAGTATAGAATAGAACTTGTGGTAGCTCTTGTTAAGAATGGTCTGTCAGTTCATTCTGCAGGAACTAGTTGGTAAACACATTTTAAAAAGTAAAAAAAAAAAAAAAGTAAATGACAGCAAAAATTGCAACAAAACAAAAAGATTTCTACTCACTTCTTGGTTACAAGGTCAAGCAGGCTGCCTTAATAAACTGATTAAGATCATGTGTACAGTACAACAACATTGGGTACATAGGAGGGCTTTCAATCACAACCCGTCTGTGGTAAAACATGTGTACATAGGATGGACGACGTCTGCCGCAGTAAATAATCGACACTATATATAGTCCACTGTTACCACTGTGAACACATCACCAAACACAGTAAAAATATCGCTGAGGTAAAACATTGTTCAGCTTCATGGTGACGCTGACCTAGTTTCACCTGTGTGTGACACGGACAGCATATCTTATCAATCAATCACAACAATCATTGAAAAAATTAGCTAAATACAACAACAAAAATAATCAAGATATCTTAACTACAATTACAGCTCTGCACAAAGAGATAGAGAGAAATACAGATAAAGAGAGAGAGAGAGAGAGAGAGAGAGGGAGAGGGAGAAGAGGGAAGGGAGGGCGGGAGAGACAGAAAGCAAGAGGTAGAAAAAGAGAGGAAGAGACAGGGACAGAGGAAAGCCTGCAGGCATGAGCAAGGACTGGTGGACCAGTGAAGTGACATAGACGTCACAGCTGACAGAAACCTGAGGGAAAAACTACACAACCTGACTGACAAAACTAGTCTCTAAACATGGTCACTTTTAAGCATAAGGGGGCTATCCCGAAAAATGCCGTTTTAAGAAAATTGAAGAAAAAGTTTTTGCCCCTTGTTCGTTTCCTTTTTTTCCTTCCTCTGGTATCATTAGGATGTCGAGCGGTCCCCTTGTTCAGTTTCTTTAAAAGACAAGGAGAGTTTTTTCTATAGCCAAACAAATATACACACCAATGAAACCAAACTTCACTACAGGTAGGGCAAAACCCACTTTTGGTGTAGGTCCAGATTTCTGGAAACCCCTGCCATCTGGGTTAGCCCGCTTGTCCT